GGAAAGAGGTGACTCCATAGAGACTCAAAATGTAGAAATCACATAAAATCTAACCCTTATTCCAGAAAACAACATATAAATACACTCTAAACAGGAAAAACATAAAATGAAAGGTAGGGGAAGGGTTATCGACATTGCCTCCCTTCCTAACTGCGGTTTGGTTCCTTGGGAACTTGGACCGGTTCAGCTGGCTGGCCTACTCAGCCCCGCGTCACAAGGAGAACAAGATTCTAAAGCCTATCCCAAATTGCTGGGATAAGGCTAATAATGCTGATGATAATGATGAGGATGATGACAAGGTAATGAAGTTTTATCAGTAAGCTAACTTAGCAAGTAGCAGTTCAATAAGCACTAAGCATTCTATTGAAATTATTGCAGATTAAACATTTGTTTTGGCAATCAAATAATGCATTATTAGAACTGAAGCAATTAAACATCATTAAACTTGTTTTTTGCTCGTGTTATTGGACGTCATCATATTATAGAAGAGTCATTACTGAAGTATGAGAACTGCATTGATAATATTAAGATGAGACGTCCATTTGGTTAAATTTTTTGTCCACATTTTTTTTCTTTCCAAATAAATTTTGATACTTTACTTAATTTTCCTGTCATCTCTTTTGCAGCATCATGGAATTTGTTAATGCTTTTGTGGACTGTGAGTGGGTGTTAGTTCCTTTTAGTTGACTCTGCTCTGGTGGCTTTAACTTACAAATATGTGCACCAGTCATCTATGCATTTCATTGCTTGGAGCACCTACTGTTACAATAACCAGAAGAAACTCTGAAAAACCTATTTTCTCCAAAAGAAATAAAAAGGCGAAGGCTCCCTTTATTTACCTATTTTTAGGCCAGAATAAACAGTCACATACAGATCCCAGCTTTTCACTTGTTAATGGAAAACGTGTTAATTTTCCATTAAGAAATTCTTGTACCAGAAGTCTGTTTCGAGTTAGCTGCATTAAGGAGCAGTTCCGAAGGAAATTTTTTCTAGCTAGAACTCTTGTACCTTTATTCAAGGATGGCTTACAACTTGTTAGGCTCTCTATGTTTCTCGCAGCGATGTTTGCTGTTGGAATTTTTATATGGTATGGTCAGAAAAAGGCCAGGAGCTTTATTGAGGTTCAGCTTCTTCCTTCTGTTAGCTCCGTTCTAAGTGGATACCTTCAAAGAGAAATTGAATTTGGCAAGGTTCTGAGCGTTTCACCATTAGGATTCACTGTAGAAACAAGCTCCATTGGACCTCATCAGGAAGAATTTTCTTGTGGCGAGGCATCCACCATGAAAATTCGTGTCTGCCCGTTTGCTAGCTTGAGAAAGGGAAGGATCGTCATTAATACTTTTCTATCACATCCTAATATCCTTGTATCACAGAAGGAGGATTTTTCCTTTTTGGGTATTCCTTCACCTTCTGAGAGTGGTTTGCATCGGCGTCGTTCATCTGAAGAAGGGATGGATTATCGCACTAAAACGAGACGGCTTGCGAGAGCGGAATCCATTTCACGTCGGAGCAAAGAACGGGTCAAAGCGGCAAAGGAGGCTGCAGAGAAGGGTTACATTGTTCCTCAAAGAAGTTCAGATTGCTTGATTAATGGTAAGTCAGAGGATGATTCCTCACATTCTCGTCTTCCAGTCTTATCTGGTTTGTTTAATTGCATGGATGACAATATATATTGCAAGGATAATCATAGCCGAAGTGTTTGGGCTGAGTATGATTCGAAGCATGCTGATCTGGAGAAATCTTTTGGTGTGAGAAGTACCAGGCATGGAGAGAAATTCTGGTCCAAAACTATGCTGGATTTTATGAGGCATAGGTTGACAGGAATTACCTGGAAGAGAGTTTCACCTGTACCTGGCATAACTGTGAAGCAAAGAAACCTCCAACGTAGTGCCGCAGCAGCTCGTGCATATTTACATGGCCTATCTCATGGGAAGAGTGACGAGCCATGTACCAAGCAAAGAGTGGATTCTTCTCATGGAGGTTGTGAAGGTGCTGAAAGTAGCAGAAATCAACTAATGAATGAAACGGCTGATAATGCCATCGCTAGTAAATTAAGTGTGCCTGATAACCATTGTTCTGAAGATCATTCCAGGTGTTCATCGGTAAATAATGAGGAGAAGAAGACAGGTGCACCTCCTGATATGGATTTTGGTGGGCTTGAGAGACCAAGTAATATTAACATCCATAGAGATGAAGATGTCAAAATTGATAATCCCAAAAATGGAAATTGCAGTGCTAGGGAATCCGATGACTATAAATCTATATCCCGACCATTTACTTTGTTCAATGACAATATTTTGTCCTGTGAGAATTTTTTGTCAGGTACTGGAGTAGGAAAAAGTTCTCCTTAAACTGTGTACTGTAGTTTTTTTGGTCCACATGATGAATATTTCCAAAAGAGATAATTATTCTAATCAGCTGTTTGATTTCTATAATTTGTTGGATTCTATTTCAGAACCTGCTCAGAATATTCCGAAAGATGCAAGATACTGTGACAATGGAAGCTTCCATCATGGAAAGTTCAGAACATTTATTTTGCCGCGCTGCATCATTCCAGGCTTGCCAGTAAACCTAATATTTAACCTGTTTAGGTTTATATTACCTGAAAACCAAACTTTTTTTAATTGGTTCAATTCTCATGTTCTGAAACTTGAGTCATACTCTCCTATAAAAACTGAGGACATTGCTGCTGAACTGACTGAAGAGATAGACCAAAGTCGTGCAAAGAGTATTGAGAAAGTTCTTCCAGTTATTGTAGATTCTGTATATTTCAAAGGGGGCACTCTCATGCTACTTGGTTATGGCGACAGGGAGCCTAGGTTTGATATTTCAATATTGATTTTCTTTTTTGGACGGTTGTGTTTTTCATCTTAATCGTCTCACTATTTATTGTTTTACATTGAGGAATGCTGTTATTAAGGTTTATTTATTCTTTCAGTTCAGCCACTTGGAGTGATGTATGCTTGCTTTTCTTATCGAGATTATATTTAAGTCTATATTATCGGTGTAAATATGAGTATTATTGCATACTTCTGGAGACTTTTGAAAATTGTTTTATTGGTCTAATATTTTGCTAATATGTTTACAGTTTATGTTGCGATTTTAACGTTATTATCTGGGGAAACCATTTTAGTAATGCCACAGGTTCTGGAAATTGATACATCAAGCCATAAAGTTTGATAAGAGGCCGTGCCATACAAGTGAATCACTTAAACTTGACCATTTAAAAACCCTTTAAATAGCTATTATTGACTAAGCTAGGGTTAAATTGTTGCCAACGTTTTCTCTATTGATATTTTACATCTGATTCTATTAATTTTAATGTGAACAAATAAGATGGTTGATTAGCAACTTATTTATTTGATGTATTTTCTTATTACATATATCTGATAGGTGTAATTTGGCTTTAATTTTTAAAGTCACACAAATTTTTCGTATGTGGCGAAATCTAGTTATATCATCCGTATATGTTGTAACTTCTTTGAGTTTGTTAGTATATACTTTTTAGAGTAAGATATAAGAGATCCCACATGAATTGCCATGATTATAATACATATGAGAAAAATGAAAAATCTGAATTCAGCACTTTATCTGAAGTTTTCTGATTTTTTACTCTAAACCCTAAGTTCTTATTCTCGTTACTGGAATTGTATGATGGGGTATGTTGTGGAGATTATTTTCTATTTTTCTCTCATCTAGTTTTTAAAATTCTTTACACATGAGACCAAAATTTTCAAATCAATTCAGGAATGCTTCTAGTTGTTGCTCCCAATTTTGGGCAATCTTGTGGTTGAAAAGGTAAACTCTGGATATATAGTAAATAAAATAGAAGCTTGGAAAATTGTGTATGTTGGTAGACAATTTTGGATAGTTACAGCTATTCAAAACAATTGGAAGGGAATGTTTTAACTAGATAAAAGAAACTATGGGATTGTTTTGATCTACTTTTGGTGGCTTTTATTGGCATTAAGATGCCTTTCGATATGATTTTTTGTTTCTTAAACCATTTAACTTTGTTGCATTGTACTTTGACTAGCATGATAAAGAGTATGACACTAACTATAGCAGCAATCATGGAGAAATGCTAAGTGTATATTGGATCCACTAAAGACATGCTTGTATCGATGTAACTATTGTCAAGAGTTAGCGTGTGATGAGAATTTGTTGTTACAATAGGTTGAATCAATAACCAACAAACGATCTATCTCACAAGTTCATGACCGATGTTCAAATTCATGTCCTACGAAGACATGGTGTATGTTTTTTAAACTTAATACAAATTTATTAGAGAAATCATGAATTGCATATAAATGTAAAATAATTTATTAAATTTCATAATAACTGGTTCGAAGGGATTTGATCATGACAATGGTGGAGCTAAGCAATAGTGGATGGTTAATTTCTACAAGGAGTGATTGTATCTAGAATCTTTATTTGAAGGGTGAGTATATAGTTTTATTTCTTAAATAGGATTAATTATAAAATTTCCTTCAAGAACCCTGGAGCAAAGCCCTTTTTTGATAAGTCTGGAGGGTTATGTAGCTATGATGGGAGCAACGAACAGACACTGCACCTTAATAATTGTTCTTTGCAATTGCTGCAGGCAACGGGTCACATAAATGAATTAATGTTCATGTGGTTTATTGAGTCGTGTGGTCTGGTGTAGGGTCATACGACAAGTGTGTTAGAATGGTTACGACAAGCTGTCCATTTGAGAGTGACAACGTCTCTTTTAAGCATTGAATATGCATTTGTGGAGGTGAGTTGTGCCTCTAAGGCTTTGAAGATTGTTGGATGATCTCCTTGTCCTAGTTGAGCTATTCTCGGTATTTCAAGATTAGGTCGAGGAAAGTTACAAATAGAGATGAATTAGTTTAGGAAATTGCGATTCAAGCTATGTTCATTATCATGCTTATTTGCTAATTGTTGAGCTATAATCATGCTGTAAGCCTGTTTTTATTTTGTGCTTGGACTTTCTTATTATGAATAGGGAACCTAAGCTTTGATTCAACTTTAATGAGGTGAAAATATTAGGGACTTTACATTTGTTCTTGGCCCTTATTTTAAATATTTAGCAAATAACTATAAAAATTAACTGGATCAAATGAAATTCAAATCTGGCAAATTTACAATTGAAGAAATTGACTCATTGCAACAACGCCATTGACATTGAAATTGTGCAACGTTGATCATATTTGAGTTTTGAATTAATTGAATCATACCAGTTTAGGTTTCTCTAAAGGTTATCAACCCTAGTTTGTTATTATGAGTGTGCAATCATATGCCTAGAGGATGGTAGTTGTTGCCACCCTTTTGGAGTGTTTACTGCCCTTGTTTTATCTCAGCATGAGCGCTTTCATCAGTCTTTAAAATGATGCATCTTAGATTGCCGCCTCTTTAGGTGTTTGATTCGAGAGTCACCAATGATATTTAATTGCTATTGAGGTGACAGACATTTCAACACAAAAATGATGTTCTCATTGCGGTTTTTAGCAGGCTAAATTAAGCTTTTTTTTTTGAATTATTGCGATTATTATAGTGTTCAATGTTATTAGGCATTTGTGGCATTTAATTTTTCTCTAATAGACAAACATTTTGATACAAACATTATGGCTTTTTGCATTTTTTAGCGAAACTATTTCTTAGCTTCCCAAAATTCTTTTGAATGATTTTATTGCCAAATTTTTTTTTGTCAAATTTGTTGGGCTCTTTGCGTTAAGATCATCAAATTATGCACCATTGAATTCTTTTTGAGAGTTGTTGGTTAGTGATGATCTCTTCTACTCCTTGATCGGCTTTGGCATACGTGGGCCCATTGAGCTAGTCTAAGGGCTTATTTAACCACATTCTAGATTGATGGAGGGAGTTATTTAGGACTTTCAATATAGGTGCCCGTTTGATACATTCCATGAAAGAAGATTGCACTTTCTATTAAAGTTTATAAATAGGCATTGCTTCTATAGTTTAAAGCAAGATTTTTTGATAAAGAGAATTCTCAAAACATAGAAAATTTAATAGCTCCGATTACTACTTGGAAGAACCAAGAGGTTGTCATTGGTTTTTTGATTGTTTGGTCTCCGTCAGCACCTGGATTTTCAATCTCCCATCCTTTTAGTAGATGACTTCTTTAACTTTCCTTTTAGTCACCAACATTCAATACTTGATGCCCATTGCTATTTGAGGTCTCATGTTGTAAATGCCTTCCGTTGGCGCACATTGGATGTTTGCCATCATGCAGTGTTAGTCATTAACCCTATCACCTTTAGAATTTCTCCACTACCAATGCAGAGACTCGTCTTATAGTTCAATTTTCATCGCATTATTTTTAATGCTCTGCCTTTGTTTTTTATTCATGCTTTATTAGATTTCAGGAGATAGTGGAAACATTTCAATTCAGTTAGGCCTTGTTTTCTATTTAAAAAATTGTCTTATGGGAGTTGCATTTAAACTCATTTAATTTATGTGAAATTTTCAATTAAACCAAGTCAATAAATCCTCTAAGCCATCACAAATATGTTAGCATGTAATATTGCTCAAAAATGTATTTGTTAGAAATATTCCACATGTATACTTGTGAGTATTTTTATTTGTTGAATTCACAAATCTATACCAATGTTCTACATTTTTGAGAGCTTACATATTCCTATATCAATATCATCATTACACAACATCGTCCAAATCCTACACAGCTTCTGTATCCTTCTATGAAATGCTCAACTAATAACAACAACAACAACAATAACAAGCCTTTATTTCACTAAGTTAGGCCGGCTACATGAATCATTTTTCTTTGTTGTGTCTTACTGAGTGTCATATTTTGATTTAATTCTAATAAATTAAGGTCATTTTTTTATACAACACGCTCAAGTCTTTTCAGGTCTATCTCTATTTTTTTTAACATAAGTCAAATCTAAACCATCCACTCTCCTAATCGGATCATTTGGTAATGTGACCAAACCATCTAAGATGACTTTGTTTAATCTTGTCTGCTATAGGAGCTGCAAGGATACATTCGTTTCACATTTTGTCTGTTAGTGTCAATTCACTCATCTACCTAAGCATTCTCATCTTAGCAACTCTTAACTTGGTTCTATGCTTCTCTTTTAAAGAGATGCAACTCTTAACTTGGTTCTATGCTTCTCTTTTAAAGACCAACATTGTGCGCCATAAATCATTGAAGGTTTTACCAACATATTATAAAATTTTCCTCTAAATTTAAGTGATATTTTTCTATCACACAATAGGTGCGATGCATTCGTCCACTTCAACCATCCGACTTGAATTCAATTATTAACATCCCTATCTATATCTTTGAACAATAGACCCAATGTATCTAAAACGTTCATACATTTTAATGATTTGATTAACCATTGTTACGACTCTACCACTAGATTTACTACTACTAAAATTACATTTCATATATTCAGCTTTAGATCCACTCAAATGAAGGCCTTTAAACTATAACGTGTACCTTCATAATTCAAGTTTTTTCTGAACTCTTTCTCTAGTCTTATATCCACAAGAAGGATATCATCATCGAAAAACATACATCAAGGCACATCCTTTTGTAAATGTCTAGTAAGACTGTCTAAAACTAAAACAAAAAGATATGGGCTTAAAGCCGATCCCTGATGTAATCCAACTGAAATAAAAAAAAAAAAAAAAAACTTTGTAAAACTTTGTCAATCCTCATGTTCAAACACAAGTAAGAACTCGTGTACATATCTTTAATGACTTGAATATAGGTCACATCAACACCTTTTTTTTTCTAGAACTCTCCAAAGAACTTTGTCATAAGCTTTTTCTAAATCAATAAAAATCATATGCAGATCCTCCTTACTCTCTCTGCACAACTCTCTTTGTAATTCTCCATCAAACCTCTCAATAAATCCATAACTTTCATTGTAGACTTGTCTAACAGAAATCCAAATTGATTATAATAAATCTTTGTATCATATTTTAACTCATGTTCAATTACTCTCTCATAATTTTAATGTATGACACATTACATATTTTCCTCTATAGTTTACACACCCTTGTGCATCCTTTTTATTCTTTAGAATGGGGATCAAAATACTCTTCCTTCACTCCTTATTTATTTTTTTTTGTTTTTAAAATAATATTAAAAAGTTTAGCCACAAAACTCCCAAATCTTTTAAATATTTCCATTCTTCAATTGAGATATCATCAGATTCTATTGATTTTCCACCCTTTGTTTTCTTTAAAGCCTCATCAACTTGTTTTCTACTAATGTGATGGTAAATAAAAAAAATATTTTTATTAACGATATTAAGATCATTAAGATTTATCATATTTTTAGAAATTTTATTGAAAAGATTACCAAAATTTCTCACTCATCTATGTTAAATGTCTTTCTCTAAGAAAATCACATTTTGATTTTCATCTTGAGTATACTTTACTTGAATTAAATCTTTACTTTTATTTTCTTTTTTTTGGCTAGTTTATACAAATTTATTTCATGTTTAGTATTTAATATATTATAAAGAGATCATTTAAAGCATAAGTTTGAGCATCACAAATTATTTTCTTAGATTCTTTACGAGCCACCTTATATTTTTCCTAGTTATCTAGGCTTTTACATTTAAACCAATTTACATATTTTATCTATTCTTGTACATTATCATTTCTTCATCAACTATTTTTATTATAAAGTTTTTTTGTTTGATTCTCCAAGTACATCTTTTGCCACTTATTTAATAGTTCTTGTTAATTCATCTCACCTTGTTACTTCATCTCACATTAAATTAGCTTCTTCGTGAATATCTCTTGTTAATTCATCTCACATTAAATTAGCTTCTTCGTGAATATCTCAAATTTTGAAATCTTGAAGTTTATTCATTAATTTATTTTTATTTTGTCTTTTAAAGTGCTCATTTCTAATTTTATGACAAAGTTTCATTGTATTTTTTATCTTTTAACTAATTTAAAATATAAAACTAATAATTGATGTTGAACACTTAAAATTTTTCACTTGGAACCACCTTAAATTAATTACATTCTTGACAATCTCTTTTTCTCATAAGAGTATAATCAATTTTGTATTTTATTAGATCCATTTTTAAAAGTAATAATATGCTAATTTATTTTCTTAAATAAAGTATTAGCAATAACAAAATTATAAACTAAGGGAAAATCAAGTATGATTATACATTCTTCATTAATAAATCCAAAACGTAACCACTTTGAATACTTCTAAATTCTTCAACCACTCTACCAACTTTACCATTTAAATCTCCTTCAATAAAAATTCATTCTTCAAGTGATTTCGTTTGTATTAATTCTTCTAGGTCTTTCCAAAATTTTCTTTTTAACATATATTTAAATATACTGAGGAGCATAAACACTTATAATATTAAAAATCTTTGTATCAACAACAATCTTTAGGACTATAATTCTATCTCCAATTCTATTAATTTTTACAATATTATCTCTTAAACTGTTATCTAAAATTACATTACACCTACTCCATTCTAGTGCGACTCCTACATGAATACCAAAGTTTAAAATCTAAGCTATCAAGCTTCTTAGCTTTTTCACCAACCCTTTTGTTATTTGAATGCGTAATATTTTAATCTTTTTATGAATCATAATATCTACTAATTTCATTAATTTACCTGTGAGAGTACCTATATTCCAAATCTATTCTAATAATTGTTTCATGGGCTAACTTCTTTGCCTGCACTCGTCCATAATGTTTGAACCCTTGTTTATTTAACGCTTCATCCGGGCGCCGTTGTAGCTGAAATTCTATAATATTACCTTTGAAAGTTTCTTTTGTGCTGATTTTTTTTTTATTTTTGTTAATATATTTTCAACTACTTAAAATTCTTTTTTTGAAAAAATAGCCACAAGATATTGTCAAGCAACTTATTTTTTTTTTGTATTGACGATAATTTTGTATGCTGTTTGTTTGTTTTTTTTATTTTTTATTTTTTGAGTTTTGTGTATAGGGAAATGGTGAATTGTAATGGGTACGTAAAGTTCCAAAACCACTACAGGCGTGTACATGTACAACTGAGTGGGGACTGCAGAGGATGGAGAACTGACAACAGCGATGGAGGGCAGCTCACAACACTTGTTTTTGTCGATACAACTGAGCAGAAATGGCATGCCAATTTGAAGATTTCCAACCTTTTTGCTCCTGTAAAGCAATAACTATTGGGGCATTCACGTACATACCACCAAATTCTTATGAATTTACATATTTTACACTTAAATTTTACTTTTTATATTTATACCATGTAAATATTTCATATCACATCCAAAATATCTTCATTTTGACTTTTAAAAAGTTGAATACAGCTTTTCATACATAGGTAAGGTGGCATGATGTAAAAATTAAGTATTAGTGTTAGAGATGTAAGTACATAGAAATTGAGTGGTATGTATGTAGATTTTCCATAAATATATTGAATAGGCTTGTATTTGATTGCTTTATTTGCAGCTTTTGGCTCTTATAAAGTTTACTTCGAAGTTGATGGACCTCTTCATGCCTTTGTGCAGTTATTTGAGAGGATTTTTGATATTCCAATCATATGGTATCAAGGAAGAGCTACAGGAGAGGTGGTTATCTTAAATTTAACTTCGCTCCATCAGCATGATTTTCTTGTTAGTTTTAAACCGAACTGGAGGGGCAAGATTCATTCCAAAAGCTGGAGCAAACTGTTGTGCTTATTTTGGTCCCCCTTATAACAGTCTTGGTGAATATTTCTTAGGTTTGAAGACTCTGTGATTGAAAATAGGGCTGAATAGTAATCGAAGTTCTAAAACTATTTTGGCCTTATTGTTTTCTCCAAGTACTTCGTTCATGGTATTTAATGATAGAGATATTGATCAAAGGAGTTTTCATCTTAATTGCTCAACTGGTAGCAACTAAAACTGTATGCATTTGGTTATATAATGAATTTAAACTTTAAAATTGCCATAAATACTGAAATGAATATACTTTTGTTCTTCAGATCATGTAATATTGGTAAATAATCAATGTAACGCAGCACAAAATTTATCTGGCTTTTTAAATAAACCCTTAATTCTAATTGAAAACTAAAAAATTATCTTAGAGGACCTTTACATGATTTAAAAAATAGTTATTTTGATAATTCATCTGTAATATTGATTTACGATTTTTATCTCTCAGGTTCACCTTTGCATGTCAAAAGGAGATATTTTTCCTAATATTCATGGACAACTTGACGTGACTGGTATATCTTTCCAGATATATGACGCTCCTTCTATTTTCTCGGTACGTTGTATGGTCAACATGCTCATATATGGAGTTCCTTTCCTGTCAATTATGTTCTACATGATCTTCATATTTGTGGTAACATATGCACGTTTATTCTGCATGAAATGTTTGACTAAAAATGTCATGTTATTCTTAGAAGCAGTATAAAATTCCATTGTTTTACAGGATTTTACTCTGGACAATGCAAAATTGAATTTTTTTTTTCGGCAGTTCCCAAGTTACCAACTTGAAATTAAAGATATATTATTAAAGCTGTTAGTTCTGTACCGAAGAACTCCACTTCAGGCAATATTCTCCCCAGAGGTCATAAGTTAGAGTCCGACTTATAATTTTCTCTAAACTAAATATTCACTGGATTCTTACATGAATTTAAATGTGTTTAGAATCAAGTTTTCTTCTTCTGTGTTTGGTATCAATGTTCATTTTCAATCCTCTCTTATTCACTAGTTTCAACTGTATCTTCCTCCTTTATTCGTGTCATGATCCTGTCCTAAGCTTGAAGCTTTCCGCCTGCCGTATGTTGGAAATGTTTTTTTTCTTTTAGTTTTCTATAACTACTATTTAACCATCCAAAAATAAATGAAAGAGCCACTACAAAAAATAAATTAAAATAATAGAGTTAAATTTATTTTATTTTAGATTGCCCACATTTTATATAAATATTTCATTTTCTATTACTCATCTTTACGCAAGTTTAAAGTTGAAAATTTAATTTAAAACAACTGTGAGCTATTGCTAGACTCGAGGTAACGACGCTTTCTGTGTCGTGCTCTGGTGGTCCCTCTGAACCCAAACTAGGCCCTCTAAATAATTTGAAGACCTATTTTATGCGTAACACCGAATGCTAACTCAGGAAAGGATTAAGCTCAGAGGAATTTTCAAAAGCGATCTATTCTTAGAAGTGGCTAGGAGAGGATGACAGAAACTTTTACTATAACTCGTAAGGAGCAACAAGAGCAGAACGTTCGACCAAGAAGTCTTTGAAAAACTGTAAGTATATTTCTGGATTTCAATAATTTTTATTATTTTCATATGTATGTTTGAAAAACTATAATTTTTATGTATAAGCTCAGACCAACTTTGGAACTATGAAGGAGAAAGTTTTTATTTATAATTTAATCCAGTGAGATTTAGATTATAAAAAATTCTTAATATTGTTAGATAAGAAAATATGCATATTTAATAATTGTACAATGAATAAAATTACTAGATTATTGAATGACATTTAAATTACAGTAGATTTGCATATATATAAATTATTACGTGACATAGATACAGTAACAGTACATTTATTCATTAATAGATAATGTAACATGTCTCATAATAATAGATGGTATACTATGAAAAATAAAATATAATAT